GTCGGGGGGCGCCTAGGGCGGCAGGGGGCGCGCCGGCCGCGGCCCGCCCATGGGGGCCGCGGGGACGGAGCGAGCGAGCGGCCCCCGCCGCCGCAGCCGTGCGCGCCCGCTCCCCGCCGCGGCTCTGGATGCCTCTCGCTCCTTCGCCGGTTGGCTCTCCGGGCGGAGCTGGCGGCTGCCCTGGCGCCCGGGCGCCACCAGGGGCGCAGCGCGAGGAGAGACCCCGGGCGCAGAGGCGTGGACGGGGCGAGCCGGCCGCCCGGTCGCCGGCCGCGCGGCGGAGAGGAGAGGGCGGAGGCGGCGGCCCGGAGGCGCACGGCTGGGACGGGGACGGGGCGCGGGGGCGCGCGCGGGGCGCTCTGCGGCTCCGGCGAGACGTCCCTGCGCATGGACAGAGTGCGGAGGAGGGCAGGCGGGGGAAGAGCGCGGGCTATCCGCGTGGCGAGGCGAGGCGGAATAGGGAGAGAGGGGGCACGTAAACTCGGCTGAGACGTCCCTGGGCATGGACAGAGCGCGGAGGAGGGCAGGCGGGGGAAGAACGCAGCCGAGCGAGAAGATCCGAAGGACGAGGAGAGGTGCCGAGATGGGAGGACCAGCTCGCGGCAGGGGAAGGAGGCGGCGGTTCTTGGAGCATGTGCAGAGTGCAGAGAAAGTGGTGTGTGCGTGGGGGGCGGGGGGACAAGAAAAGTAGCTCCAGGTTTCAGAGAAATTGGACAGGGAGGAAATTAGGCGGCCAGGACGGAAGCTTCAGGCAAGGGGCAGGGGCGCTGGGTGTCTCCTTGCTATGCATGTCTCCTGAGGACGTGCAGAGGGCAGAGAGGCTGTTGTGGCAGGGAAAGGCATCCATGGACCAGGAACACAGGACTTGATGCCACTGAATAACATTATGAACAACTTAGATGCCATCAGCCTTGGAGTACAAGTCCCATTAACCCCAGCTGGCTGGGCCTCTGTGAATGCTAGATTCTAAATTAAGCCTTTGCTTGATCCAGCATGATTTTTCTGATCTCTTGATCCCATCCTCCCTTACTCTTGCTAGACTAGCTGGGGCTGATGGGAATGGTAGTCCAGAGAGAACTGAGGAAAGGTAAGTCTGTGAATGCTTGTGCTCCTGCCAACCAAATATAGCATACTTGGTCAAAGGCAGTGCACCTTGGAATAAACCAAGTGGGGAGGACAGTTTAATTATTAGATTATTAATAAGCATTAATTATGTATATATCTGCTCTCCATATTTTACAATATCTCTTAAGAGGGTTATTTGGCTGGCTGGTGTTGGAAACAGGAGACTGGGCCAGGGGAACGAGCAAACTGCTTACAAGTGTAAAAGGAATGTGGAATGTGCAAGCTAGAAAAAGCAGCTTTCTCTCCTTCACAGGTGCATACATATCCTGCTGCACGCGCGCGTGCACACTCACACACACACACACACACACACAGGGCTGTTTCCTTAATAAAATTGATGATATTCCTTCCTAAGTCACAAATCTTCTAGGGCCCCATTCCTTTGCATGGGCTTCCCCGGGGGGGGTGGTTGAGGCCCCATCGGTGAGGGTGTTCAAAAATAGGCTGGACATGCACATGGTGAGCATGTTGTGAGTGGAGCCGGCTGGCGCTGGGGTCAGACTAGATGGCCCCGGAGACCCCTTCTGACTTGCTCTGTTTCTATGTTTCATGTTTAGGCAGAAAAACGTCCAATAAATCCTGAATTCACACAGGCATGCTGGAAACTGCAGAATTCCTTTTATCTCTGGCAGGGGAATATGGGGGATGTAGGCCTTTGCTTTCTGCTTGCTAGGGGATGCTGGGAATTGCAGGGCTACTTGCTTTCAACACGGCCATAGCTGTGCCTTGTGTAAGCTGCTGAATCTGTCCCTCTAGTTTTATTTGGAAATCAGTGAATACGGTTACTGCCTTCCTGATGCGCATTTATCCTTTGCTGTCATGGAAGGCCTTCAGAAGCCACTAGGGAGTTGTTGGAAGCATGGCAAAATATAAAAATATTATTAGGCAGCTCGGGCTGTGTGAAATGTGTTCTTCTTTTGATTGTCACTTCATTCCCGGTTCTTTGTCTCCGATGCCCTTTCTCTAAAGCCCTGTCTCTTCCCCCAGTCCCCCCACCTTTTTTTGAGGCCCTGCTCTTCCTGAAATTGCCTCTGGCATTCCCTTAGCTTCTCCAGTACCAGAGTCTCTGCCTGCCCTGCAAAACAACTCTTTTTACACTCTGTTGGTTCCATGTGAGGATTTTATCCCAGCCAGCCAAGTTGACTCGTGTGCCTTCCCTCCGAGGAAACTGAACCTGTTCTTCGTACCCCTTAAGGCAGAATGTTTATGGACATTCCATGATGTCACAGCAGCCGAAGCAATTGGTGTGTCTCCACACATACACCAGCCTGGCCTCCACGCATGCCCCCCCTCCCACAAATTGGTGTTGTTGGGGCCATTTGATGTTAAGAACAATCACAGTTTCAGTTGGCAGACATCAGTGGAAATTCATACAATTGTATCAGTAATAAATGTAATAGAATGAATATAATTTATCATGTAAAAAGTAATTTATCATGTTAAAACAGCCCTAGAAGGTAGGCCAATTTCACCAGTTTGGTCTGGGGCTTGTCTAGTAACAGCCAGGCAGATGGGGAATTCCTTGTACAAAACCAATATTCTGTATTCATTCTAAAGCTCATGTTTCTAGCTCTCAAGACAGGTAAGGAAATAGTCACGAATGTGTGTGGCTGAAATTCTGGGCTCTAGGGGGTGTTGTGGAAAAGATTTCCAACCCCCAAACCTCCATCTCCAGGGTAGTTGTTGGGTCTAAGTTACAAATGCATGACTCATGCCTACCAGGGCTGATTCTGAAGTCTCTGTAAAATTATCTTTAATAAGATTTTGCTGTAAATAAAATATATGTGGCATCTAGTATTTATGCGTTTAGTGTAATAGATTCCTTCAAGCATCATGGAAGAAACCTAGTGCTTTATTCCTTGGTGTTTAAAATTTTTGTATTAGGTTTGGGGTTTGATTTTGAAGCACATAAGGAGAAATTAATTCAAACCACCCTGAAGCTCCCGACTCGCACTTGGCAGCCCTTGGAATCCACACAAATAGAATTAGACTGAATTACGCTGAAGCCTCCAGCCTGCATGTGACTTTAATTGCCTCCATGCAGGTGTGAAGGTAGATCCCTTGGAGAGCGGAACTGGTGGGTTTGCGGCGCTCCAGGATCACGGCTGGTGTTGGGCACGGCCCACGGACGCCAGAGCCCCAGAGTTTTCATGTGCAGCCCCTGCAAGTCCTCCTGTCCCACCACGCGCCTGCCAGGTCTTCATGGCAGACTTTCTTTGCATTGGATCCCTCTGAGTGAGCTGTTTTTTGGCTCACAGGTTCTTCCCCTCTTGCTGTCCCTCCAAATCTTTTTGCTTGACATTTCCCCTTGAAACCAGAGGTCCTCTCTGCTATCCGTGCACCCTCTTTAAAAATATTTTTCTTTAGGGAATGGGCTCCTTTACAGACTTTGGACTTTAAACACCTATGCAAAAGTAACAAATGCAGCTTTGCACATTACTTTGCTCTGCAGGCTTGTGCCTTGGATCTTTTGGTACCGATCTTTTGCTGAAGCCTCCCAGAATGTGTCTTGGCATTGCTGAGCCTCTCAGCCCCAATGGAAGCCCTGTAAGAGCAGCCCCATTTGATCCATAGAGGGTGGGGAAAGGAAGCAATAAACAACCACAAGAGAGCAACTGCCATGGAATTGAGCCACTAATTTGCATTATCCTTGCAGGTCTTTAGAAGGCCCAGATGGGTAGATTTCCTCCCAAAAGTTTCCCATTAAGGAAAACACAACTTTTATCCCCTCCTGAAAGAGGAGATCAACTCTGACTGCTCTTTAGAAGGGCAGATCCTGAAGATGAACCTCAAATACTTTGGCCACTCAATGAGAAGGAAGGACTCTCTGGAGAAGAGCCTGATGCTGGTGACGATGGAGGGCAAAAGAAGGAGGGGGCGGCAGAGGATGAGGTGGCTGGATGGGGTCACTGGGGCAGTCCGTGTGAGCTTGGGTGGACTCCGGGGATGGTGGAGGACAGGAGGGCCTGGAGGAGGGTTGTCCAAGGGGTCGCGATGGGTCGGACAACCAGCAGCAACAACAACAACAGAAATTTCTGGAATAGGTCATTGCCTGCGTGATTCTTTGGCATGGCATGGACAGATATCCATTGTGCTGTTCTTTCCTTGTTTGCGTGTTTAGACAAAAAACGCCCTGTATTTACTGGGATGGCTGACCTGGAACTGGGAGGAATTGTAGGACTTTGTGCCCCTTTCATGAACTTTACATGTTTAATGCATCCTTTTCTCCAAGAAGTGTCAAGCAGCACATACAACCCTATTCCCTTTACACTCACAACAGCAGTCAAAGTTACATAAGGGTGAGAGGCTGGGTCTGGCCCAAGGCACCCCAGGAAGGCGTCATGACCGACTGTGGATTTGAGTTCAGGTCTTCCGAATCTCAGCTCAACCTAATTACTTCCTGTCTCTTCTTGGGGAAAGCTGGAAACTTATCTCCCCCACCCAAATCCACCTTCACGATGCACCTTTCTGCCTTTGAGCACCAGGCGACGCTGCACTGAGCGATGGGGGGGGGACGTGCCCCCACCCACGCTCTCCCTCCCACAGTCTTGTCTGCACTCTTACAGCTTGCCAGGCGTAGCTCCCCGACTGAGTCGGAGTTTAATGCGGCAAAAGGTGAATCCTCCATCTCTCTTTCTCCCCCTCCTTCCCTCTGTCCCAGCTTCATTACAGATTCCAGCAATCCCTATTCAAACAGCACTAATCCCCAGGAAGGGGAAAAAAATTCCAAGCCATCCAGTTTTGTCCTGGAAAGGCAGGAGTG